GATTTTATCACATAGAGGGACACTCGCTGTACATTAAATAAGGATTTTTAAGGTGTACAAAGGGGCAATGTGTGCTGGTACATGAATAAGTATAAGCTGGATGAGACCGATTTCAAGAAAACATCGAGCCGGCAGTAAAGCTTCCCCCCAAATGGCATTGATCATTTTCTGTTAGTTCCTATACGAAATGTTGACATTTTGCAGATGCAGTTTACTGGCAGTAGTTGCTGGTTTAGGCGGCCCTCTGGTGGCCGATTAGGCTGTAAACGCTTGCTCTGGACCATTATGGCTCCAGTCAGGTTCGAAACCCACGCACCATGCCTGCTGTAAGGCTCGCCATAACAACTTTGTCACCACCGCAGAACACAGTAACAGATCATTACTCACATTTTCTAGTACACAAGAGTTTCTTGCCTTCCCTTTGTGCATCCTTTTCCTCGTCTTTCTTTTTCTCTTGAATTTCTCTAAAGCATTTCCCGCCGAGCAGGTGCCGTCCTGAGTTTAGTAACTTTGATCTGCTTGCGGCATGAGGAGTTGAGAAGGACATGTGTCAGTGAGAACCGCAGCAATTAAGATACACGAGGTGCGAGCCTGCACACCCTCTCCAACGCCAATTCTGAAGACCATGACTGCCAGGAGAAGAGCCCCCCCACCCCCACAACCGGAGACCTTCATGGTGCGTCTTGACTTATGACTTGAAGCCACTCTTTTATAATATGAAATTACTCATTATTTATGTATCGTCTGTCGGTAGTTCTGTCTCAGTCGTTCGTGATGAGATGTCTTGGTTCTGAATGTTTGGAATTAAAAATGCAGGAGTTGTAAATTCAAGAATCTCGGAGCGCATTCGAGGGGATACAATGAAGAGATTTAAATTAGTTATACTTTCGGCATAATTTCATTTACAATGAATGGCATACTTACAATTAAGAGGATCTGACTTGGCAAGAAAATGGGAAAGAAATATAATTTTCACTAGGTATATTTTCATAGCGTATTCATGAGTACGCAAGGAATTGCCACCGGCCCCCACCTCCATAGTTTTCCTTCTGCTCACTTCACAGGCCATATGTACGTTGACCCACGCGTTATACAGGTTGGAAAACTAATGAATACATGCAAAAAACGGTGCCAACTAAATACATCACGCCTAGGTCCTTTAATTGGAAATACATAAATAATTGGATGAGATTCGTATTATCATCTTGTTTTAAAACTGGAAATACCAAATCGGTTTGTGGCTTCAGCTTCTGAAAATGTGATATTTGGCTCGGTTGTTTTCTTCATTATGATGGTCTTCTTAGGTTCAATAATTGTAGAATTTGACTGTTGGTTGGACACAACAAACAATTTTATTTTCAACATTTTCACATTTTTCTGACATTTTATAGACAAAGTCATTAATCAAGAAATGAATCAATAGTTGAGTCGATAATTAAATCACTGGAACCCTAAACTACTGTAAATTTTGATACAATAAGTGTATCTATATGTCATAAACATAATGTTGTAAAATGAAAAACATATAAAAAAAACACATTTTGTGAGGTTTATAATAATGGAACAAACTACAGTAACATTGAGCTCAATCACGTTGCACACATCTTTTTCTTGCAGCAGAACAACTTTTTAAATCACACGGTGACGTAACACATGACACATACCCTCTAAAGTGCCATGGGGTCCACGTTTAATGAGGTATGTGTGCTAATTCCTGGAAACATCTCATCCTCTTTACCTAGTATGGCCCTCTACCGCCCCTCCATCTCTTTCTCCAGCTTTCTCTTGCGTTCTTTATCCTTTTGTGTCTCCCCCTCTGGCTTTCTTCTCTTGTGGCATACGTTTATGTTCCTGCTGTAACAAGTCATTGCTATCAATATCACCGTGCAACCTGACAGCATTGTGCAAACTAATTATTTACTGAGAGATACTGCGTTCCCTCACAAGACTCTCTGATACACATGTAGCCCATGTGTGGAGCACATAAATTACATCCAAGTTGTTTTTGAAGCGTGCAATACTATTTTGGGTTATTGTGTGATTTATTGCTTTAGAATATAGGAGTGTCAGATCATTAGTTTCCACACTCAGGCTACAGTTTGTATACAGTATCATCCATACAGTAATGTAAAATGAGCTGCCTTAAACAAAACAGAAGCCTCTAGCATATGCATAATGTTTTATGATAAAATATTTTTCTATTATTAGTATTATTAAAATTAAATATATATAGTACCAGTTTTACAAAAGCAACTCAGTGATTGACAATTTGATTTCAATTTCACTTTAATTGACCAAAAAACAAATGCTCAAAGACAATATATTGCACAAAGAATCCTTTGTTAGCTTAGTGCTCATCTAAAATGTGGAGTTTCTCGTTAAGCTGGTCTCCATGGAGATTGTGTAGCTGGTGATGATTCTGTTTCCACGGTAACAGCTTTAGGCTAAGTCCTCCTCCGATCCTTCGATGTCCTTTAAACATCACAAGACAATAATGTTACTGGCGCTTAACATCTGTATTGTAGACATAATTTTATTTTCCAGGCTGGCAGCAAGTACTTTTATGTCATTTAAAAAAAGTTATGATTTAATTTATTTCAAAATAAATTCTTGAACATCTACGTTCGTTTTTTTACAACATCCTTACCCTGAATGCTTTACACTGTGTAAATGCATATTATTATTTTCATTCAAAATCAAATCAAAAATATTATCAAATATTTTTTAATTAATAGATTAGTTTATTACAGTAAATTATCTTTGGACTGTTAGTCAGATAAAACAGACATTTGATGACATAACCTTGGGCTCAAGGATATTATATATTTTTTCTGATGTTTTATAGACAAACTGAGTAACCAGTTATTGAAAAAGTAATAAATCATTTGGCGCAGGCCTAGAAAATTGTGTAAATTGGGCATATTATTTGTGAAACTGTACAGATTTTTAAAATTGTCTTTACCTATTAACTTACCATTGGCTCCTGAGATCTGAGAGTCATGATATGTTTCTGATATGCAGAGATGATACAGTCTCGCCTGCAGAGAAGGAAACTGTTATTATTATGTTGAAAGTATTTCTGTTTTGATTCCCCAAAAATGTTCCTGTGTGTTTCGGAGGGGGCAGGTTAATTTCTCAGACTCACTTGCTAGTTATGCCTCCTCCTGGTGGAAGCCCTGGTATCTCTTCTGCAGCCAGAAATTTGATCACATACAAAAGGTCAGGGTCCTCATCTCTGGACCTCATCATCTGGATAATTTCTGTGAAGGGCGGAGTCAAACTGGTTATAAAGGAGGTGGTAACAGTAACAGTAGTCTGAAGTGTAGTGTTTTTTTTTGGGGGGGGGGGGGGTTTGGAGTAACTCTTAAAGGAAATCACCTTCCACTTTCATATCAATCTGTTGCTCCAGCTCTGCCTCTTGCTGCAGTGCCTGCTGTGACACCTGGGGGGCGTTGGGGAAGCAGACGATGATGATGCTCATGTTATCCAAGCTGCCCTGCAGAGGGAGACAGAGCACAGAATTATTAGTAAAGCACTAAGACAGCAGTTTAAGTTGAAATGAAATAGACAGTGGTTGAAGGTAACTAAGTGCATTATACATGTATGTTAAATCAGTAGTTATAATCCAATAATGTAATATATTAACTATTAATTGGTTAAGTAATATATCTTGCATGGGTCCTTTTGCCTGCATTTGACTACTTTTACTTTTGATGCTTTAAGTAAATGTTACTGATGATACTTTTTAATCTAGTGTTTTTACACTGTTGTTCTTTTACTTAAGGATCTTAATACTGCTTCCTCCCTTGAAATCACTTAAAATAGACCTGCTGAAAGGGAAAATAGCAGGGGACTGAGGTCTGTGGCAGGTTCGATGGAGATACAGTATATTGTGGTTTGAACAATATATATTCCAATATATATAGTCCAAACCAAAATACCCTATTGCAGATATATCCGTATCAGTGCTTATGTCTGCCCAAATGCAGCACAGAAATGCCAAAATACTACAATCTCACTGTACTGTGAAGTGATCACAGTTTTACAACCATCAGCCTGTTGGTTATGACGTCAGAGATGCGAGGAGTAAGGCTCAGTGTGTCCTGGAACATGCAGTCTTTCAACAGTACAGAACAGTAAGCCCTTTCAGGTGAAATAAATAGCAGCCCATCCCGGCCAGGATAAAACCTCTGAGCCGGTGTGCATAGATCCGTAACACTGAGGTCCAGTCAACACACTCGCATTCAGTATTAATCCGAGCCATGTGTAGCATTTCTCCGCTCCTATCCCATGTCCCCAGCGTGTCCTAATACAGCTATTTATAGTGCGGGCTAAAGGCTCATGGGTGTTCAGATGGGCAGCTACTAACAAGCATTAAGAGAACCTGCAGGAGAAATCTCCTTACATAACAACAACAACAGTGTGATTCCTCCTCACGGAGACCCTGCCCACGGTCTACCCATGCCCACCACACCCACTTCTTAATGTAAAGCTCCCCATTCATAAATCCTCTTGCTGTAACACTGTGTGTCGTAAAAAAGTCCAGTGAGCTGAGTTTAGACTACAGGATGACACTACTACATATACACGGGTGTAGTTAAGTAGATGAACTGAAATGTTCTCCATGACACAGTTGATCTATGCTTTTAGTTAACATGTATGAGACAGATAAGATGGCTGCTCTGACAAACATTAAATAAGACACTGTATGGAAACATAACTTATAAATTTTGGATCAAAATGTTTCACTATTTCCACAAAATAATCACAGCAATCCTCATCCATCACCATCTTTATCAATTCAGGATGCAGTCGTAGTTTGGGAAGCTTATGTTTTTTTGCACTTCCTATATTAAGGTCCCTAGAGCACATTGACCCATAGCATATAATTCACATAAAAGTTTTGATACATAGGTTGTAGAATGGCTTTGTTCACCCTGCAACCACCTGTGTTATGGTTAGTGCTGGGTATTAAACCTCAATGCAACCGACCGAAATGTGTCAAGTATTTAGATTGTTCTGGATTTTAATCCAATTCTAAAGCATTTTAGTATGGCAGAATTCAACATTTGAAAACTCCAGCTTCATTAATAAATTTTTTTTTCTTTCAGCTGAAACTTTTTTGTTGGAATGTGGGGTTACATTGTTTTGTCAAATACTATTTCTAAGGTCAAGAATAAATTGGCAGTAGTATTTAAAATTTTACATGTAACAATTCCCATCCCTAATCATGACAAAGCTGTTTAAAATGCCTTTATGCTGAGGTATCATTTTCTTGCTCCCCTTTTTCATCAATTAGCAAAGTATTTCGATCTGTTTCCGTGATTCATCCTTCCTGTATTTTGAATATACATATATCATAACACCTTTAACCATAACACATAATGCACCTTGTTTGTATGCTATAATTGTTGTGTTGACATCTCACCTTATAGAGACAGAGGTCAATGACCTGGGTGCAAATCTCTCTTAGATCATCGCACACCAGCAGACGGCTGCGCACAAAGGCACACAGTTCCTCATTACCAATGGCATCCCATACACCGTCACAGGCTAGAATTAGGAACTCGTCTTCGGGCGTCCTCTCCAGCTCATACAACTCTGGCTCTGGTGACACCAGCTGCTCTGTCTGCGGCCTCCAGTCCACCTCCTTGAAGTCAAAGTCCCCCAGTGCTCTGGAAACAGCCAGCGAGCCGTTCACTCTCTGCAGGGTGACAGAACCACCAGCGTTCTGGATGCGCTCCTTTTCTCTGGGGTTGAACGGCTTGTGGTCCTCCGTGTAGAAGACCACCTGGCCTTTATGGCAGAGCAGGGTGCGGGAATCCCCACAGTTGATAAAGTAAATGTAGCGTGGTGAAATCATGACTGCTGCTGCAGTGGAGCCACTTCGGTCCCAGTTGTCCTGGCGAGCCAGTTTGTGCATGTGTCGATCGATGTCCAGGAAGCCTTCTCGGATCCCATCCTTCACCTGCTCGGGGTCCTCGTTTGCTTTCACTCCACCTGTGGCAAACGAGGGGAAAACATTTGGTTTTAAGACACAATTCTGTATAGTTTCTGGCACTGCCATGTTGTTTGTGTAGGGGCCAAAACACATGGACCCAGGTACCACATAAACTGGGGTTCTGTCTTGATTTGTGAAATCCGTGGCTCACTTTCACTAACATTGAATAGCACACTGGAAATTAAGACATCCACTACTAGAGAAAGAAAACATCATCTGTGTTGTTGAGGTAACGTGGCCCCAGTGCAACAACATGGCCGCCATTAAGAATAAGAATATCTTTTTTGAAGGCAATGATAGGTAGCAGTAACAAGAGTTGCAGACCAAAAAATGACTGTCATGTAATTGTGATTGTTAATCTTCTCTCATATGGTTACCGATCAGTTCACAGCTCTAAATGTATTGGAAATATAAATGCAGTAAGTTTTCAAGTTAAATTACGACTTTGTTAAAACATTGTGGTTTTACCTTATATGATATTACATTACATTCATTTGGCATATGCTTTGGTGAGTCACAGTAAGTGCTTTTAAACTCAATGAACAACAGCTAGATGTCACAAAATAACTGGACATACATGTACATCCCCCTTCAGTACAAGTTTTAATCATGTTGAATGTTTAACTAGATTCATTGTATTAGTCACTAATTGTCCTGTACCTGTTGCCAGGATGTGCTCCAGCAGGTTTCTGGAGCAGTACTGGGCCACTGTGGTGCCTGCATGTCCATCAAACACAGCAAAGTATCCCCACTCTGACAGCTCTCCTCTCAGCTGGGGCATGCAAGTGTGGGCATCCTCCATCTGAGACCTCCAGCCCTGCATGCTCGCCACAGCATAGTTCACCAACTGAGAACCCCCCTCTGACACTTGCTTCTCCAGGATGGGATGCTCCAGGTATGGGCTTGGCATCGAGTCGTCCTCATCTAAACTGTCCTCTTCCCCAGAGCCTGTTTCCTTGGCCCCCCCTTTGAAGAAGAAGGTGACCATCTTCTCTGTCTCTTTGACCAGCTGGCGGAGGAAGGAGGGCACCTCCACGTTGCTGGCCCGCCTGGCCGTCCTCATCGCCCCGCGAAGACTGCGCTCAAGCTTCTTGCTCGACCTGGCAGCAGCCCGTCTCCTCCTGGTGCCGCTCCTCCGGCCCTGTGTTTTCCTCAACAGGTCCAGCGCAACAGTTAAGCTGTGGCTCCTCCAGCAAGTAAACCAAAATTGACTTTAAATCAGAATGATCCTCTTAAGTTGTAAACTTGGTTGGTTTTCTGTTAAAAAATATCAGGGCCATTTTTGCATTCCTTAGTGTGCCAGTTGAGAATCCTTCTTCTTCTTCTAGGTGTCTCTCTGTTTCTGTTTCTACGTCTCCCTCCTCCTATTTACCTGTCCTATATTAGCCCTTTGCTTCTATTGGCTTATCTATTTGTGTTGATATATCCCTCTGCTCTGCCCCCACCCACTGCCTCTCTCCCTCTCCCTACCGTAGTCCGTGTAACACTGCTGGATAATCACTTGGCTTGGTGTCTGCAGACATGCATGGTTTATCAGCATAACATTTTACACAACACAGAGGGATCCCATAATCAGTCATGCATGTCTGTATGAGGATTTTATGTCTGAAACACATTTTTTAAAATCCAATTAACTTCATTATGTCAGCATTTAGCCAATTTGTCTTAGTGACAGACAATTTGTTTCTACTGCATTCATATGGGACTTTTGTGACATTGTAGGGGAAGTTCATGAGTATATTGTATAAAAATATGCATGAAGTTAATTCTTGACCTTGGGAACAGCAGTTAACAAATCAACCCTATGTCATGGTCCATCTGGAGCTTTTGATCATATCACATGGTCTTTATGAGCAGAGGAAGTTTGACTGGCGTTTTCAAGGACAAGAATAAACTTTGAAATTAACACACAGTAGGTTAGCCAGCTAATATATATCTTAGGGCTTAACTCAGGATTCCGGGATCATAAAGCTTGGTATCACCTTGGTATTATTATCTCCATGGTAACCTGTGCTGCACAGCTAGGAGCAGATTCAATTTAAAACAAATGAGATGAGATACTGAGATTACAATAAAGTGACATGTAAAAAAGAGTAATAAAGGCATTTTATACTGTAGATCAGTAGAACTACTTGACTTAATTAAGATTGACGGACTTCTAACCAACAGAGAAATAGTTAAGCACACATTTTAGTATGTTATTATGATTATAGCTGCATATTAATTACACACACGGTTAATTAGCTCAGTAAATTATAAATGCAACATTTTCTGTGAGAGACCTTACCAGGCTTTCATTTACTTTACTTTGGGCTTATCTTGTTTAAACAGTTATCTTTAATAATTATAGAATTCATTAATATTCCTAATTGATTATAATGAGACCAGAAAATCTACTACTGCTGAACATGCTGAAAATGACAAACTGGTTAAAAATGGCTTTATAATAATTCCTAAACGCATGTATAACCTTATGTTTATTATATTATTCCAACTGTTTCTACAGTTTCTTATTATACTCTTGCTGTGTGATCGCTCAGCATCACTTTTTGCTACTGCCATAACCAAATTTCACTGTTTGAGCCCATTTGATATCACATAGCCAGACTATTTTCTTCTTTATACAGGCAGGAGAATACACACATAAATACGTCACTTGGCAATCTTAAGTCGTGTTAAGTTGTTTTATGTGTTGGCACAGCTACTCAAACTCCACCCCATCCTGTGTGTGACTTGCTGATTCCATGTTGTCCCTACATGACAGCTGTGTGTCTTAATCTCATTAACTGCTGTGTATTTGGAGCTTTTGACCTGGTTTACATTAACTCTTGAGGTTTATTAAGGACTATGTGTGATTATCCAGTTATAAGTGGGACTAAACCTTTTATGTGCTGTAGTCAGCTATTTCACAAACAATACATCATCAAAATACTGTCTGTTCACTTCCTGTGAAAACTCTTCAAGCCTCTCAAGTCATTTGGTAGTTGGTCTGTTATTCATTTCCAAAGTAAACCTGTGGAAGCAGAGTTTAGTTATTCTGCTACACTGTAACAAACATCCACAACATCTAAGACCTGTGCCAATTCCGACCACCTTTAAATTAATTAACAAACTTTTGTGTTCTTCATTTCTTTTAACTGAATATTAAGTTAAGCAATTACTTTGGACCAGAGGCCAGCCGAGGGCCTGGGGCCTGTCTCACACCTGGACCACTGTGGTAAGGACTCTTTACATACCCTTTATATGTGGTACATGCTCTACCCTACCATTTCTGTTGGTTTTTTTAAGCCAATTACCAACAAATACATCTTCAAGAGTGAAGTTACTACTAACCCATTTTAGAAGTTTCATCCCTTGCTTGCTTATTGAGGTCTGATAATACTGTCTTCAGACCACTCAACAAGTTAACACACACACACACACACACACACACATTGATAGATAATGATTTTGGTTCATAAATACAGTGTCAGCATGTAAGCGATTGTTAAAACGGTAACATAACTGCTTTGTAATGTGTAAAACAATTACTGTCTTTTTGATCAATTTTGGGGTCATTTCAAAGAAATTTCAAATATGTTACTTTCTAATTATCACCTAATTACCAAGAGATTCATGGACCTGTAAAATGAAGCGTTACCCAATGCATTTATTTCTTTTAAATCAAAACCCCTGAGTGTACTGAATTTAGCAAAGGTCCATTTATGCCTTACAAATTCAACTTTGGCTTTGTAAAAGAAACAGAAGTTACATTGTGTTTCTTTAAATATCTCACACTGTATGTGTTAATAATGCCTTTAAAGCCTTATACAAAGTGAAATGTGATATGTAAATCAAAGCAATGAGGTCAGTTTGTTGCATCAGTTACAGCTTCCCACTGCTGCCCCCCTACGTTTCACTGTTGCACAGGCCTCACTTCCCCATTGTAAAAAAAGCTTTTAGTTCAGCCTTTATATTATTTATACTCTAGCTTTTATGATAAATTCTGTTGTGGTTGGTTTGTACAGTTGCAATTTTTTAAACACTAATATTTCATATGTAAAACTGGGATATGATATTTACTAAAACATAGCTCATAAGCTATGAACCTGACCTGAGCTTCAGCCTGTCCTGCCCATCGTTGAATGCATCCTTTCCTGTGTATGTTTTGTATATGCTCATGCTATATATTATTAATGATTTCTTACTTCTTCTCTTACAGCCTGCCCCTATAAGATCCTGAGATGAAATCACATGACAAGGGAGAGAGAGACACACAGATGAGCTGTGAATGGGAGACGACAACGAGCTCAGACAGATACAAGGACACACACTCATGCCTCTCTCCCTTCGCTGTGGAATACATTACTACAGCTGCAGTCATAACGATGCAAGAGGAGCTGATGGGAAGGAGGATGGTGGAGTGAGGCAGGCAGGGCGGGGCTGCTGAGTGACAGAGCGGGAGGCAGGAGAGCTCGGAGGAAGCTGCTCAACAGACGAAGAAACAGAGGGAGGAGGAAGAG